CTGGCAGGACTGGAAAGACGAACCCCCCTCCCCCACCCCAGGCTCTCTCAGCCTTGGCATCCCCAGCCTAAGGGAAAGAGTGGCAAGTTTAATGGCTGAAAAATGTTCCCCACCAGCATGACAGCAACTCGCTGGCCCCAGCAGCTAAGGGGTACCGGAAATCCTGTCTAGCGGTTTGGGAGAGCTGGGGACTGGGGTCAGAGGCAGCCAATGGGGTGCTGCCTCCCTGGTTCTCCCCTCCACACACCACTGACTGCAACTGACTGACCCAGAAAGCCTTCTAATTACCGTTCAGGAGCCTAATTACCTAAGTCATTGGCTGCAGGGACCGTGGGCTCCCCAGGGTCCTCACCCAGGCCACTGTGCCCCCTCCACCCCTGCAGCCCCGACAGCGGCCTTTGCATCTCAATTTGCCTACATTTGCATAAGCCCCTGGGGCCCTGACCTGTGACACCAGCACCGAGGTCTGAGGCCAGGAGGTCCTGAGCAGTCTAAGATTGCCAGATTTCTAACCTTCCCATTTGAAAACTGGGACCTGCACAGCTCTAGCAGAGGACCCGGTTAGCAAAGCTCTCCCCAAGCAGGCCTACTGTCCCCACCCTGTGTGGCCTTGCGTTCAAAACCTCCCTTACTCTGTTGACCCTGAATGATGAGGGCCCAGGGATGGGCACTGCAGGCCTCTCTTCCTACCCTTCTTCATTGGGCAGGTCAGAGGACACCTGATGACAACACGCAGACACTGTCCCAGGTGGGTGGGCAGGGAGAAACTCAAGTGGCACAGAGCCATGGGTGCCCACCTCGGGTTCCTCTGCAGACCCCCTGCTGGCCTTGTACAGAGAGGCCACGGGAGTGCCCAGGACCATCCAGCAACAAGGACATCTCAGTTCTCATCCTGCTGCCCTTTCCCTTCCAGGAAGTCCTCCAGGTTGCTCCAACCCACACGGCTCTCCAGCTTCTGAACTCCCACCAAGCCCTGCCAGGAAATCAGAACCGCAGGCCTCCCTGTATGATACCCTCAGGCCTGGCCTCCCTTACCAGCCAGCAGGGGCCAGATCCTGGGCTGCAAGGGGCTGAGCAGGAGTAGCAGCTGCCAGGGGAGGGGGAGCACCTGGGGTCACGGGACACCCAGGTTCTCATGCAGGCAGCCAGACCACAGGAGCAATCTCTCTGCTGCTAGCTCCCAGACCAGGAAGGGGAGGGCCGTGGCGGGAAGCTGCGGTCGGAGGGGGTGCAGAGTGAGCGAGTGATGGGAAACTGCCCTCCTCACTGCATCTCAGAACCAGGAAGAGAAACTGAGCAGGCGTCAGAATGGGAGCTTCCCTCCTGCCCGGGGTCACAGGACAAATCCCCAGGCCTCAGTTTCCCTAGGTGGACTAAGTGGGTGCCTCCTCTACTCTTTTTAGATCCTGCCAATCTGCCTGATGGATGTGTGCAGGCTGCATCCAGAGGGCGATACAGGCAGCCTGGTGCCCAAAGCGCACACTTTCCAGGGTGCTAAGGCCCTGGGCAGCCGCACCCTGCTTCCTCTAGCCATGCAGGGTGCACTGCTGCTCCCCTCCCCGACTCTTTATTTTTAGGTCTGAATTTGACTTTAATCATTACTTAGCAGATTCTATTTCCAGCCCTTGGATGAAGGGACCGTGAGAGGAGAGAAAGAAGGGAGGAGGCAGTGCTCCCTGCTGGGCGTGGGGGGCGGCCCGCTCCTCCACCCATCCTGTCCCCAACCGAGGGCAGAGGGAACTGAGAAACACCCAAAGGGCTCACCACAGCGGAGCCAGCATCTTTAGGGTGGACCGCACCCTGTGACCTCATCGCAGCCCAAGAGCTGCGAGATGGACGGGAGGGCAGCTAGGGTACCCACATCCCCTGCACTGCCACCAGAGAGGAGGAGATGGCAGCAAGCAAAACCTGGCATGGCAGAGTCCAGGGAGCCCGCTGGGGTTAGGCTGGGGCCTCCTGAGGGTCAAGTTGGGCTACAAGGGGTTCAGGGCCAGGCCAGTTGCCCTCCTCCTGGTGCTTGAATGCTTGCGTGAGGTACACCTGCTGCTGTGGAGGAGGCTGCGCACACACTCCCTCCCAACACGCAGCTGGGAACCAGTCCTGGTGCTCCTGCCCAACGCCTTCGGGCACTGGGAAGGGGCTGGGAGGCCAGGCTGGCTGGCAGGGTGGTGTCTGGACTGGGGGCCCTGAGGGAGACCTCTGTTCTCCAGGCAAGTGCTGGGCCGGGCTGGCCTCGCCCAAGCCAGAAGGCAGCTGCTGGTGGCAGCAACGAGGAGAAGGAGGTGGTGAGGTGGTGGTGGTGGTGGTGGAGGAGGAGGCTTTCTCCACTCAGCTTGGATGCTGGGAGACCGGAAGGAGGATGGGTGGGGTCAGGCCGGACACCAACCAGCGAACGTCTGCCCAGGGCCAGCCCCATGGCCAGGGCCAGCCAATCACAAGATGATGGCGTGGGTAAGGCAGGGAGGCCAAAGTGGTCCAGATCCTCGGGTCCCTAGCTAGGGACCCCTTCTCTGTCCCTGACCAAGGGTCCCTCTCTGCATGCCAAGGCAGCTGGCCATGGGGACTCCTTTACGACCACCAACCCCTACTCACTTGGGGCAAGAAGAGGAAAGGGGCTATGCCAGGCAGGTACCCATGGCTCTGCAGCAAATTCACACAGCCCTCACCTGTCCACTGAAGCAGGTGCCGTCACCCGCCTCCCCGTTACAAAAAGGAACCCTGTTCTAGGCTCAGGGACCTGTCCAGCATCCCTCCCTCCACTCCAGCCTATGTGGCGTGGCTGGGGTCAAGTTATCTCCTCCCCAGGATGCTCTCAGAGCCCACGGGGGTGACCACTGCAGCCACAGAGGGGCAGCAGCGTGGACTCTGGGCATGCAGCACCCATGCCACAGGGTCTCTTGATGCACCGTCCAGAAGCAAAGTTCTTTGGGGTGTTTGGCACTGCGAGAAAACGCTCAGACACACTACTATCCGTGCAGCCACCAAGGGGTGAGCTGGGGGTAGGGTGGAGGGAGTGGGGGGGACACTGCCAGGGAAGGCAGCAGCATTCCTCCTCCCCCCTCTAGGGAAGGGGGATTGCTATTCTGCATCCTGTGTTTCCCTGTAAGGTTTTTCTGAATTGGGAAAATCATCAGCAGACATAACCCTGGGACCACGAGCTCACAACTGTCCCCTGGCTTCTTATCTGCTCGCCAGCTCAGGCCCAGGTGCCAGGGTGGGGGGACATTTCTGCCCTTCAGAGGGCAAGGATGTTACCCTGTGGCCTCTTGCCCAGATCACGTGCTGAGGTACCAAAACTCAAGAGGAGGGCCCTAGCGCAGCACCCCAGTGGCTCTGCCCACATAGGCTTTTTGGGGGCAGCCCCGTCCGTCACACTGTGGCCATCTGCTTGCGCTAGTTTGGGGGGAGGCTGAACTCTGCCCCCTCCCACACTTTAGGGGTTGTGGTGTGTGGCTGTGGGTGGGTGCTGGCACACCCTGGCACCCGTGGCACTGGAAAAGGTGGGGGGATGTATGTATGTGTGTGTGTGTGTGGGGGGTGTTTTCTGATCTCTCTTCAACCCCGGTCCAGTGCAGGGGAATGAGTGGCCACTGTGAGAGCGAGGAGGGACCTAATCAGCTCCCTGACAACTGCTCCAGTGCAAAGGGGGCAGGTGCAACTGCCCCCAGCCCCCACCCACCCTGCCCCGCTTGGGTGCGCAGCAGTAGGCAGGGGCAGGAGTGGGGTGCCTCACAGCCCCTGTTCTTCCGCTGCTGCTGCTGCTGCTGTGGTGGCAACCGGAAAAACCCTACAGCTCAAGCAGGGGCCTGCGCAGAACAAAACCCCTGGTGGCTCCCCAAGGCCCAGACATGGCGGGAGGGGACTTGGGGGGGGGGGCTCCTTCAAGGAACAGCCTGGCCTTCTGCTCCCCACCCACCTTCCTGCTGCCTCTGTGCCCCTTCAGGTGACTCTGCTTCCCCGGGACTGCTGCTGTAGCAGGTGTAGAAGGTGTAACTTGTTCCCACTTGGGGGTCCCTCATTGCAGCACACTCTGCCCTGGTCACTCCAGTGTGGACAGGGCAAAAGGTGTGGGGAGGACTGGAGGGGGCTCCCCCATACACACACCCACTCACTTCGTCCCCGGCAGGTGGGAGCCACCACCACAGGCACCTCACAGGGCAGTGCAAAGTCCGACGGGGCCGGAAGCCCCCTGCTCCCCATTTCCAGCACGTGCTCAGCCCCCCCATCAGGCCACCACGGGACCAGACTGGGTGAGGGCTTCCTGCCACCAGCAGTGGCCAGCCCTCTTCTCTGAGCTGGGGAGGCAAGAACTGCCTACCTCGTGTCAGGCAGCGGCTGCTGGGCCCTCACCTCTCACCCCTACCACGCCAGCCTCAGAAACTGGCCAGAGGAAGGAGGCCCTTAGTTCAGCTCCCAAGATCTGCCGGCTGGTGGCTGGACACACCCCTTCTGACACCTGGGCACCCCCGCCCCCCGGTGGAGGGGGCCTGAGCAGCTCGGGAAAAGGGGCTGACCACCAGTGTCAGGAGGTGGGGGCACAGAGACCAAGCTTGGTATCGCCTCCACCCATACTCAAGCCCTGCCCCGTGTTCCCATCCAAGGGTCACAGGTCTCTGCGGGTGACAGGTTCAGGCCCTGAACTTGAGTTTCTGGCTGGCTCCAGCGGCACTTCCGTGCGGAACCGAAAGAGGTCCGGACTAAGCAGGCTGGGGCACCTGCAAGGTGGACCCCTACCCCCCCACGGATGCTCTGGTCCCCACCCCACCGCCGCCCCGGGCTCCCACCACTACCACCACCACGACCTCCTCCTCTTCCTCTCCACTCTAAGCTCCGGGATGGAGAAAGAGACGGGTCTTCCCTCCCTCCCGGCCCCGGTTCTGACAGGGAGGATTCGAACTCGCGAAGGACGGGGGGCGCGGGCAGCGGGGGCGGGACCCGCGCCCTCCGCGCTCGCCTCGCCCCCCACCCCTCAGTCCGCCGCGGGCCAGCCGGCCACTCACCTCGGTCGGTCGGGGACACTGCGGTCCGGGCGACATCAGCGGCCTGCGGGACGCTCCATGCGGCCGGCGGACAGGGGCGGGGCGGGGGTCCCCGCGGGTGCGGCACAAAGCCGGGCGGCCGGGCGGAGGCAGGGGGCGGCCGGGCGGAGGCAGGGGGCGGCCGCGCGGCCCGGGGCCCGGCGCGAAGAAAGGCGGCGGAAGGGGGTGGAAACAATGTGGCCCGCGCGGCCCGGCGGAGTTCCGCTTCCCCACGCCGCCTCGGGGCTCGCCGGGCCGGGGAGCGGGGGGCCCGCCCCGGACGCTCGATCGGGGGGCCCGGGGGTGCCGAGGGGGGCGCCTCGAGCTTGCACACCCCGGAGGCTCGGAGGGCCGGACGCGGGGCTGGGCAGGGCTGGGCTGGGCGGGACGGGCAGCCGGGGACGCCCCGACGGTGGCGCGTACGCGCGCGCGCGCGCACGGACAGTCCCCGCGCTCGGACCCCGCCCGACGGGACCCCGGGGGCGGCGCGCTGCGGCGGGCGGGGACGCGGCGGCGGCGGCGGCGGCCACCCTCGGCTCTCGCCCGGGCTCCGCGGGAGGAAGCTCGCAGGCCCGGACAGAGGAAGCGCGGCCCGGATCTCCGCCCGCCGCAGCGCGCCTGCGCGAGGGCCTGGCCCCGCGCGCGGTGCTGCGGGGCGCGGGCGGCGCCCCCTGCCGGGCTCCGGTGGGCAGCGCGTGAAGGAGAGGGTGTGTGTGTGTGCGAGTGTGAAGGGGAGGGTGTGTGTGTGTGTGTGTGTGTGCTGTCCCGCGCTGGCCCTCCGCTGGCCGCGTCGCCCCGGGGCGCCCGTGAGGGTCCCTCCCGGCGCGGGCCGCGGGGTTCCGGGTTTGGAGAGGGCGCACGCCTCGCGCGCAGTGACCGCTCCTGGCTTCGCGGCCTCGTGCGCCCTTAGGCGTCTCCTACGGGCAGGATGGTGTGTGTGTGTGTGTGCGCGCGCGCGCTCCGGGGGGTAGCGCGTGAAGGGGAGGGTGTGTGTGTGTGGGGGAGAGGGGGTCCCCTTGTCCCGGAGTGTCCTCGGCGGGTGGGCAGCTGACTGACCCGGCGTGCAGACGCTCACCCAGTCGGGTGGTAGGTACAGCAGGGGAAGCAGCCAAAGCGGGGGACTCCCGGTGGATCCCAAAGCTGGGACCCAGCCCCGCGGCGGTCCGAGGCTGCGCCGAGGGAGGGCGGAACGGTCAGCGGCTCCTAGGCTGAAGCTTGGCCCGCTGCAGTTCTCAAGGACTTGAATGGAAGCTTGGAGATGATAATAAGGAAGTGGCCCCTGGCTGCGTGACCTTGGGCTAGTTACTTAACCTCTCTGTGCCTGAGTTTCCGCATTTGATAAAAAGCGGGGGTAGTGGTGGTGAGGGAATAACAGCTTCTACTTCTCAGGGTTTGTGGGGAGGAAATGAGTTAATATGTTTAAATTGCTCGGCTTGCAGCCGCTGCTGACACACGTGGCGGGCCCTGGGAAAGGAACTGGGGATGGAGAGGGGAGAGCTGGGCGCTTGGAGCAAGGGTTAGGTGTAGGCGGACACAGGGAGGGCCATGCCCACTGGGTGACGTGAAGTACATTGGCAATGGACTTGGTCAGACTGAATAGGGGAGGGGGCGGAGGGGGGAGGGCCCAGCGGCTGCAGGCTGCAGGAGAGCCTGCCATGCCAGGGCCCCTGAATGCCAGGATCTGGCGTGCCAGAATTGGCTGTCTCTGCCTGCCACCCAGGCTGGTCCTGACACCCCTGGGAGCCGTGACCCAGCAAGTCCCAGGGGAAAGTGGGGGTGGGAGTGATGGCAAGAGTGTGGATTTGGCTGTAGACCCCAAGAGCTGCAGTCCTAGGTGCCAGGGACTGAGCTGGGTGACCTTGGGCTGGCATGGTCTCTGGGCTGTTTTTTATAACAGTGAGGCTGACAATCCGGAGAGGGTGCAGATTCAGCAGATAAGGGCTGGCGGGGAGGAGGTGCGTGCTTGATCTAGTCCTTATTTCCTCTGAGCGCAAGATGGACCGATAACAGAGGGAGGCAGGCAGGCGATGCCCGCCCCGCCAGCCTCTGGGCACTGCGGAAGCTTCTGGAAGGGAGTGATTGACACTGCCCCTCCCCTGGGAGCCCCAACCAGCTAGCAGAACGGAAAGCAGCCATGGGGTGGGAGGATGGGGGAGTGGGGGATCCATTCCCTGTCCCGGTGTGGTCACTAGTTCCTCTCTCCTGACCACCCCACACACTTTTCCCTTGTGCTGTACCCCCCCCCCCGCCCCAGCCCCGCAGGGGCAGGTGGGGGGAGTTGAACGAACTTTGGAACCAAACAAAACAAACCTGCCTTTGAGTCCTGGCTCCACCTTGTAGAGTGAGCCTTTTTTTTTAAATCCTTCCTGAACCTTAGGGATGAAATCAGTAAAGTTGCCCCCTCCCCCTCCCAAACACATATACCAGGCTATCTGCTGTGCGGCAGCGCGCGCGCACACACACACACACACACACACACACACACACACACACACACCTGGGCTAACCCCTGTAGGCAGCCAAAGGCCTCTTGGCCTCTCTCGCTGGCTCCTTCAGTAGGCATTGCTCTGGACCCTGGGATGGAGTGAGCAACATCTCCATGGGGCTCCCCCAAGAGGACAAACAACCATCAGCCAGGTGTGTGTGTGTGTGTGCAAGTGCCTGCAATGGAGTGAGGCTGTGGCCCCAGGTCCAAGAAAGGACAGGATAGAGTGAGGAAGGTGTCAACCCACTGCCTCCTTAGGGAAAGCAGACTGTGGGCATCCGGGAGAGGGCAGGTGCAGGGTGTCAGAGACCGCCAGGCTGGCATGGTTGACACTCCAGGTCTCGGCTGAAGACAGAGTCTGAGGCAGTGTGGAGTTGGTGGGCTTGTCCAGCCTGGACCACTTGGGACAGGGGGCAGCCCCAGGGTGGGGGCAGAGGTTATAGTGGTTGGGGTGTGGAGAGGTCATGCCTCGAGGACCGGAGCCGCGGTTGCCCACGCAAAGCTGGGTTGGTGGCCAGGAGGGCCCAGGTGGCCTGTGGCCTCTGCTGTTCCCAGGGCAGGGGTGGAGCGGGAGAGGGAAGGGCCTGTCCCCCCTTCTCTGCACCCAGACCTCCCTGCTCGTAGGAGAGGATGACAGTTTAGAGAAGCGGGTGTGAAACAGCTTGAAACTCAGCCGGGTTGGGGCAGAAAACAGGAAGCTAAGATTAAAGGCAGATTTCCAGCAAAGTCTCCTTCCACTTCCTGTAGTGCAGGTGCTGGCGGGAGGGGGTGGCTGGCGTAGGCACGCTGCACACGGAGAGGGACCAGGCCAGCCTCCCTGGTGCTGGCACCTCTCGGCTCCCTCCCTCCAGCTGCCGCTCTTTGGCCTTGGACTTTTTTAAAATAGGGGTGGGGTGAGGGCGTGTCCAGGGAGACCCAGTTGCCAGGGAGTAACAAGTGGCCACCCAGTGCCCCACAGCCACTAGGCCGGATGGCTAATCTGATATCCATCATGGGTCCTGGCACCAGGGCCCAGGATGGGGGGCTCCCCTTTTGCCCCTCTGGACTCACAAGCCAGCAGGTACCTGGCGACTCCACTGAGGGCGGTAGCCGAGCCTGGCTCCTGTTCCACTGTCCACCTGACCCTCCCTGACTCTCCCTCCAGGCCTGAGTACCCACATCCCGAAGCTGCCCTTTGCAGGGGTTGGGTGGCGGGGCGGGGGCGGGGGAGCACAATAGCAGAATGAGAGAGAGAGAAAGCTCTCTTCCATGCTCTGGGTCACTCCCCACGTGGCTACAACAGCTTGTGTTGGACCGAACCTAAGCCTCCAGGAACCTGGAATCCATCCTGGTCTTCCACGTGGGTGCAGAGGCCCAAGCACTTAGAGCCATCCTCTCTGTGTGTTAGCTGGATAGAAAGTGGAGCAACTGGGACTGGAACCGGTGTGTCTGTCAGAAGCCAGTGCTGCAGGCCAGTGGCTTAACAGGTACACACCTCCCTCCTCAAGCTGGATGGATTTCTCACGGGGCTGATGCCTGTTCCGTTTTGGAAACAGACCTTGCTTCTAATTTGGGCAGGACCATACATGGAGGGGACTCAGTCTCCCCAAGTGTTGGATAAGGTGTATAGATCTGAGGCCTCGGGCACAAGTAGGAAGCTCTGGGAGAAGGTGGGACCACCACACAGGGCTCCAAGTGGCCCCACATGGCCAGCTGGCTGACCCCCGACCCCTACAGGCACAATCTCGGCGTCTCCCCCAGCCAGCACAGATCCCCCCGCCGGGTCCCTGTCTTCTGGATCTTTTCTACCTTGTTGGGGTGGTGGACTTGGCAGGGAGAGCCCCGAAGCTCAGCCAGTTCCCAGGAGGGTCAGGGTCGTCCTGGGAGCCCTGAGAGCCTGCAGGAACAGAGGGGCCTGGTGATAAGACGAGGGCTCGAGAAGTCCTATATTTAATGATGAGGCTGGAAGATGGAGTGGGCAGAGGCAGGGCAGCTAACCGGTGAGCCTTTGTGCGCAAAACCTATGTAAGGCATGTTCCTGAGTGTGTGTGGAAACCCTGACTTAAACCCCACCTGCACCAGGCCCGCTGCTTACCACCCACTCCAGGGGCAGGGGTTGATATGGGGTGGTAAATGGCACCGTGGCTGACACCTGCCTCACAGAGGGCCTGGGTTCAAGTCCCAGCTCTGCTTCCCATCCCATCCTCCTACTGCTGGATGGATGGATGCTGCAGGTGGGTGGGACCCTGTGCCCTGTACGACTCCCCGAGTTCCTGGCTTTGACCTGGCTGCTGTGGGCATTGAAGGAGTGAACCAGTAGATAGAAGACCTCTCTGTTAACTCTGCTTTTCAAATACATAATGTTAAAAAACTTTTTTTTAAAATTATTTTCATGTTACTGGAAAGGCAGAGAGAGAGCTTCTATTGACTGATTTACTCCCTAAGTTCCCATGACAGCCAGGGTTGGACCAAGCTGAAGCCAGGAGTCAGGAGCTCCATCCTTACAAAGTATATGGCAGAGCCACCACCCTCTGCTGCCTCCCCCAGAATGTACTGGCAGGAAGCTGGTCTGGAGCGGAAGAGCCCCGTGTGGGAGGAGGGTGTTCCCACAGTAGCCAATTGCCCCTCCCCCCCCCCGCC